TCTCCCTCTCCCTCCCTCACCCTCTCCCTCCCTCACCCTCCCTCTACCTCGCTCTCCGTCTCTCCGTCTCTCCGTCCTCTCACCGCCCCTCCCTTATTCGTCCACGTCGCATGAATAAATATCGCTATGACTTGCTGCTGGTCCATGTGTGTGCAATGCCATCGTGACTGGGCGTACGTAGAGGGTGGCGGGGCGTGGCGAGGCGTGGCGCCGCCGAGCGTCGTAAGCGGAAATAGCGCAATACCCGGTCGCTGGCGCGTCGCTGGGCAAGCCTTGGCTGAGCCTTTGGTTTACTATGGCGCGGTTTGCGTTCCGGAATGTAATGAATGTTTGGGCTGCGCGGCTGCTGCGCGGCTGCTTGCCGTTGTTATCGCATTTCCCGCCACACGCGCCTCGCGGAAATTGGAGATCGATTTCTTCATTTCCACGCTGAATTTCCAGTTTGCGTCGTATGAGCTGAACTCTACGGCGGTGCTCTTTTCGAGCTCCAAATTTCAAGCAGTTATGGTGACTAATGTGTACACGAAAACTATGTGTCTGGGAAAGGGCACTGTCAACTTCGTTTGGGAATCTGTGAAAACCCCTGCCCTGTTTTGCCGTGATGACCTCTGTGTTTTTCGTTGCAGTCTGTTTTGTTATTCTCCTGCCCTCCCTTTAATCCTCTCTCTCTCTCTCTTTCTGTTGCAGCCAAGAAACAGAATGGCGCGCTGAGGCTGGGCGGGCTGGGCCCCGTGGGCGGCGCGCGCACGCCCCCCTTGGAGAGGAGGAGCAAGCTCGCCGCGCTGGGCCGGCTGTTCAAGCCCTGGAAGTGGAGACGCAAGAAAAAGTCAGAGAAGTTCGAAGCCGCTAGTCGATGTGAGTAAAGTCATTTGCCTCAACAATTCATTAATGAATGCCCCCATGTCGCGTTGCATTGGAAGCACTAGTGCCAGAGTATAAGTTCAGCTTAACTTATAACTTCCATGCTCTATGAACTTATCTTATGAAACATATTAACCGAGCTCTGGGAATGTTTCTGTCTTTGAACACCAATTGGCTATAGTTCGAAGTGGCAGGTTTTTTATTCCGCGGCTATACTCTTACAAACTGTAGCTAAACGGTGCCACTTTCTGTGCCGGTAATGTTTGATTCTTTTAATCTTTTGGAAAATATCCTTGAAATAACAATTTCCAAGTTTGGCATTTTGAGGTCAGCTGTCATAATGGAACAGTTAGATTGTTGTTAATTCAGCCATTTTCTCCGCCACAATCGGCCACAATTGTCATACTTTTGTTCTTTTTTTACACTGAGACGAAAACCGCTTATCGAAAGCAATTTTCTTGTTTCCAGCCCTGGAAAGGAAGATCTCAGTCCGTGCCAACAGAGAGGAGCTGGTGCAGAAGGGCATCTTGCTGCCGGAGAGCCCCATCACCCCCATCGCCGAGCCCCCCGGTGAGTCTGGCTGCGTAGGCCTGGAGGGCGGCGGCCCCGGGGCGCCCCGGCGATATTCCTGCCCCGCTCTGGGGATATTTATCGCCATTGGATTACGTTTCCAGCCGATTGGGCGCGAGGTGTTGGGGTGGTCAGGTGCCGGGCCTGGCGGGCCCTGGCGCTGCCGGCGCGGGCGCCAGCGCCACAGGCGGCGCCATCTAGCGGTAGCGGCCTGAAGCGGGCGTCGATCTTGACCCCGCAGCTTCTCTGAGGCCCGCGGCGCTGTGGGGCGCGGGTGGGGTGCATGAGCCCTTTGGGGG